ATATTTTATTTTGATTTCTTATGCTAACAATGTTTATAATTCTTAAATAGTCAATACGATTTTAGGCATATAATATTCAAGTTTCCTGACATTTTATAAAACACTTTATATGTTCAAATTTGATAATAAAGTGATTTTTTTGTAAATGCTCAAAGCATTATTAAAGGTCAAGCATTCCTTTAACATTGTGAGTAATCAGTTAATAATTTGATTGTTTTAATCATCAACTTAATTGGTTTTTAATACATTTTCTACCAAACAAACTAATTCATTTGATTAATAAATTAATAAAAATTAGATTTTATTTTTATTAAATATTTAATTTATACAATTAATGAATTAATCAATTTTAAATTTTGTCTCAATTATTGATATTAATTGTTCTGATTAATTCGTTATTTGGAAAAAAAGTATTTTTTTATTTTTTTTACAAATTTGATAATTGATATCATCATTTTGGTGATAGGTGCAAAACTTGCTTGATACAATTATTTTGATAATTGAAACATATTTTTAGTTTTTTTCTGTGTAGATCTCTTACTGTAATTATTCCTAATATATACATAAATCCTAATCAAATCTGTATATTATGGATATATAATTACTTTGTACATATGCAGATATATAATAATTGCACAATGTTTAAACCAGCCAGAAATCGACGTGCCAACTCGGTGGAACTCTACATACTGTATGATGAAAAAACTATTACAATTTGAAGGGTTTTGTGAGGACCGTGAAGATTTGGGGGCAAAACTAAATATTTCTGATTGGAATACCATAAAAAGTCTGGTTAATATTTTGGAAACAATTTATAAAGCGACACTAAAACCACAGAGCGAGCAGCTCTACCTTGGAGATTTTTACAAATTATGGCTGCAGTTGATTCTTTCAGTAAAAGGGAAAAATGAATACAGCTCAACTTTAGAAAATTGTATCCAAAAAAGAGAAGAAGTGTTAATGGAAAATAAAATTGTAGTTGCCTCTGTTTATTTGGACCCAAGAATCAGACGTGTATTGTTTCAGAAACCGACATATCTCATAATAGCCAGGAATCATTTAAAAAAAACTAATAATACAGATATACAATGTTCGGCACAATGATAATGTAAGTATTTTTTTATTATTATATAATAAATTTTTATATTATAGTAGATTGAAACTTTATATATTTACTACATTTTTCTTTAAGAATAAGAGTCCATTCCCAACTCGGCAAAATAATTTGGCAGAATTTTCAAAGTATGATGGCACAAAAAAATTCGCTCCTTAATGAATTCCTTAACTCTATTGAAATAAATTCAAGCGACGAAGAAGACGATCTAAATGATAAAGGCTATTGCAGAAATAGATCATTATAATCCTAAGCCTATAAGTTTAGATAAAGATGTAATAATATAAAACTTTTTTATATTGAATTTCATCGCAATATAGCAATTTTTTGAATATGGCATAATATGGGGGCTAGGTGAAATCGTTGAAGATTTTTTTTCGTTTTAAGATTTCGTTCGAAATTTGGGTTTAAGGGGTATATTTGACCAAATTATAATACCATGTAGCGGATGTTAGCATTACATTCATAACTTCAGTAATAATAATAAAAACTAGTTGTGTTCTTTAATAAATTTATCTATTGATTTATGTTATATAACATATTTAAGACGAATTTTAACTTTTCGCTCTAGAAGGGTCCTAGAATTTTATACGGATTCGTTTGCATTTATTCCTATATTGTTCGAAAAACACCTTTCGGATTGCATTATCACTTTCAAATTAAAAGTTTAAATAAACTGTGTAATAAAACATATGTACTTGTACAAATAAAATTTCATATTGATTTTTATTTTTGAACAAAATTAAATAAAAATCAAGAATATTTTTTTTTTTTTGAAGTAAAAAGTAAAACTCAAGAAATAAGTTTTTCTTTTTGAACAAAATAATAAAACTTAACATTAAGTTTTATTTTTGAGGAAAAAATTTAGCTTGAAAAATAATTATTAAATTTTAAGTTTTATAATAAAACTTATAACAGTTACTGTCTCTGATAAATATTCCTAAAAGTCTGGTAAAAACAAAAAGAACTGGTAAAAAGTGGGTTAAGAAAGTCCTAAATTTTATATTATTATTTATGTTTTTTGAGTTGTTTTTTAGGTTCCCGAAAAAAGTGCAAGCACTTCAAAATCAACACTCATTTTCAAATATTTTAGAAGCACTACTGAAGGATAATGCTGAATTAAAACCTCTTTATCTCAGAATTTTGACCTATAGGAAAAATTAAAAATTGGTAATGAATAAATTAATAATATATCGATACCCTATATTCAAAAAGTGCTAAATCAATAAAATCTAGTTTTCAGGAAATCATGTTCATCTTGTTAATATACAAAATAAATTTTAAATAAATTTGAAGTTTTAAAAAATGTTGTAAAATTTGTATGGAAGCTAGCACTTATTTTCTTCAATAAAAATTTAACTTTGAGATTCAATTGGTTTCAAATTTATACCAGACGTGGATCATGCATTGAGGAATCCTTTTGCATCAAAAACTCACTTTGCCCAAAATTGAGTTCGCACTTTTTGAATATAGGGTCACGATATGTTTCAATCCATTGTCAAACATTTATTAAAATAGTAAACTGTAAAAAGTTTTCAATAATAATATACGAAAATGGTTGTTTCGAACAAAATGTCCGTTCGAAATTTGGAAGACTATGTATGTAATGAAAAAGAACCTTTGTGATTATATACACGAAAACCTGATGTGATAAAAAAATTTTAATGCCAGATTCAAATTTTGGGTATCAAAATTTCTTTCGACTTTATAAAATTTTTGTTCTTATGTTCCTTGAGAATTCTTATTAAAATCCTGAATAGTGAGGAAACAAAGTGTATCCAAAAAATTCAATAAAATCACTCTGAAATATCAGTTAAAAAATAAAATAATTCAAAATGGAAATACACTGAAATACATACTTTGTTCTCCTGATTGTTAAATATAAGTGTGTTCTGACTGTCAGATACACAGTCACTTTAAGTGAGGATAAATTAAATTTTCTATTAGGTCGGGGACTTAAAATATAAAATTGTATTGATAATTTTCTTGTAACTCACTCGACAAAAAAGCACAGCTTTACAAGTTAAAAGTCACGGGTCCAAAAAGTTAATTTTCACTTGTCACTTAAAATGATATAATTTTTTAGGTCATTAACTTTAAAAATCGAACTGAAAGTTTTCAATTTAAAGTGATGTCTATATTTACCCACATTTTGAAAGGTTATTAAAAAATACTAGAATATTTCATATTTCTACCAAACTTTCTAAATTTAAAGTTTAAATTTTAAACTTTTAAATAATACATCCTAAGTTGGTTAATGACAGCAGAATCACTGTTTACATATATGTATCATAATCTAATTTATAATTAGAGTGCGTGGTATGTTGGTTTTCATGGTTAATTGAATATGAGTTTTTAACTAATTTTCGGAAAAGTTTTCCTATTAATTCTATTGATATAGGAACATACATATATTTATAAAATTTTGGTGATAATGATTATTTTTTATCGGATCTGACCATAATTGGTCATAGCTTCCATATAAGGTTCACTTCTGAAAATCACTTAAAAACACATTGATATGAACATATGTATGTATTTGTTTGGCATCAATCCAATTTGTCCAAGTTTTTATGAAAATAAAACAAAATAAAGTTTTCAAAGTTCTATGAGACGTAGATCTCTTATTTAAAACCAAATATTAACTCGTCGAAGGTTTGCAGGTTTTTTTAGATAAAATATAATGTGCACGTAGTGCTTGTCGTAGACAACATCAATATCTTAAGACTGTGTAAAACGAACATACATAATTTGGTGGCAAACAATATTTAAGTCCCGTTAACGGTTTACTCGTGTGAATGAAGCTATCAGGATAGAATTCGACTGGAATATACATACATATGTTGTGTATATATAAATCATTCAGTGAAATTTTTTCCGGATAAGTCCATAATTTTTCATAGCTCCCACATAATGGCCTTTTCCGAAAATTACTTAATGAACTTCAAAGTGTAAATATCTTAATAAAATGAACATAAATCCTGGTGAAAAATGTGTATAAATTAAAAAAATCGAACTTACAACTCACCAGAGGGTAATGGCACACAAATTTTAACAAATTGAAAATAAACTTAATGAAAATATTGAGGTAGCTGCTACAGAACTTCGAAGAAAGTCGAATTTTTGGATTGTCACAAGCAATTTTTTGAGAAATTTTAACTTTGACTTCTCGTAGCTTTTATATCTAAAAACATTTTAAACATCGAATTCGGGAAACCTATGAGTCAAAGTGTAATAACATCAAATTTGTACAAATTATCTTATTTAATCCCACAAAAAAGAAAATACTTATGGATATACATATGTCAACTTCATTGAGTTAAAAAATTTCATTATTTAACCATATAAATTGCTGTCTTCTGAAAAAAATATTTTTTTGGTGTTAGGAATTATTACACCAGAGAAATAAGTAGTCAAAATGATGTTTTGAAGCTAAGAAATAAAAAAAAATAAAAGTGTAATTAATCGTTTTGGCTTGTGAACCATTAATATACATATTAATTTTACTGTACATGTGTATCCTGCTACTATACATATATTCAACATAATTTTAACACAACTTGTTTGACTCTTTCATTATTTTTTTCTTTACAATTTGTTTTACAACATTTATTACAAATTTTAATATTTTTTTATGAATACCGTTAAAAATTTTTAAACAAACGTTTTATAACATGGACGATTTTAAGCCGCCGCTAAAATTTTTTGTTTCAGCCGCCATTAGTTTAGATCGGCGCAGGTTTCTATTTATGACCGCAAAAATATGTATTTTTCAGATACGAATTGTAATAAAATGAAATTGAGCTAAAAATAAACAAAACATGGAACGAAACCAAAACAAACACATGCATATAACAAAACTGAACCACAACAAAGCAGCTGATTAAAAGTTAATTGTCAGTAGTGTATCGATGTCGTTTAGCTGGAGAAGTTCACGCAAACATTACATTAAACACAACTTAATTGTTAATATTTTTTATTAAATTAAATAAAACAAGATTCGAGGAAATACTACTACACATTAATACTTAACGAATTAATTGATATAGTAACTAACATAAGTAGACACATTGTGTTGTGAATTGTTAAATAAGTTTATTGTAGTTTTTGGACAAATTTCAATGTCAAAGAGTGAGACCTTAATTCAATTCACCAACTGTCGTCTGGTGCGAAATCATCAATTGATTCGAGATGACTTATGGATACGGAATGGGCGTATTGTTAATCCAGAACCAATATTTTTCGACGAAAAAGCTTTCGCCCATAAGAAATATGATTGTAAAAATGCTATAATTGCTGCCGGGTACATTGACCTTCAAATAAATGGTAAACAAACTGTGTAAATTGTTCATAATTATTTCGTAGTTGTTGTTGTTCTTATCGGAATGTTTTCTTTAATTATTTTATCAATTCTTTGTGTTCTTTAAATTATATGCATTTGTTTATGTGCAGTGTTGTCATCTTTGAGATTTAAATATTATTTATGGCGATTTTTGAAATGCTTCATAAAGCTTGGACATTAGGGCGGTCCCAACATAAAATTGCTGATATTTTCGCTGAAAAAGAAAATTTAGTTCTTTTTAAGATCCAATTTCTCAATTTTTTGTGCTAACGTCAATATTTTGTGAGGTTTTTATAACTTCTGTCATATTTCTTGGAAAGAATATATACCCAATTATGGTATCATGTAAAAATATCAAACATTTACATACAGTGTCTCTCATAAGTATTCGAATTTAGGTAAACTATGAAAAGAAACCAAATTTAATAATATATTTTGTGTGCAATAAAATAAATTAATTTGTTATATTGTCTAGACAGTCCTTAGGTTTGATATCACGCTTTTTAAAACTTGAAAAATTTACATTTACTTAAATTAAATTAGCTTTTTTAAAAAAGTCCATAAATTGTCTCACAAAAGTATACGAATTTTTCCTGTATTTCATATTTGAGCATATTATACGAAACACAAATTTTAGAATCGAATGGTTTTTATGCTTTAAATTGTTTTAAGGGGTTACTATCAACCGAAATGATATATTTTTGGCCCATTTGGTCCACAATTTTTCGGATTTGTACCCTCTTTTTATGTAATATCATTAAAATGGCGATTTTTGGAAATATTTGTAGTATTTTCTCTTTTTTTCCAGAGATAAAACCAAAATTTGATATTGGAATTTAATAGACCCCTTGGAGTATCTAAAAATAGTATTTTTTGTTACAAGAATCTGTATTTAAACGATCCAAGATATATTATTGATATCATTATTCTGTCGCTAATTCAATATATTGGAACTTAAGTCCATTTTCATAATACTAGGGTCAAAAATTTTCGGGGAAGTTTTCTTGTATATATTCTTTTAGATATCAGCTTTTATATATTTTAAGTTTTCAATGTATTGTGGAAGTGTACAACTCCAAAACATGCCTCGAAGAAACACCATTCAATATGGTAGTATCATTATTTTTATATACCAATGACCTCCAGGCTGCATGCCACTATATCATTATGGTCTAACTCAAAAATATCAATATCTCTTTAAATATTGATTTCTATGATCAAAATAAACCCAAAATTTTGGACTTACAGTGTTATTGTAATGGGCAACATAAGCGTGAAAGTTACGAATAGTAAAAACTGAAATCTACTGTATAGGATGACGTTTTGTAAAGACATTTTTTGGAATTGTATGCCGATATAATGTATTGAAAATTTAAAATATATTAGTGCTAATATGTACATGAATGTATACTAGCCAACTTTGTCGGAAAATATCGACCCTAGTGGTACAAAAAGGGACTTATGATCCATACAATTCAATTAGAAACAGAAGAACGATACTAAAAATACATCTTGGAACATTTAAGTACAGATCCATATAACAAAAATTATTATTTTTAGATGCCTCAAGGGGTCTATTAAATCCCAATATTAAAGTTTGGGTTTATTTCTGGAAAAAAGGAAAAAAATTGCAAATATGGTCAAAAATCGCCATTTTAATGATATTACATGAAAATATGGTACAAATGCTCCAAAATTGTGGAACAAATGGGCCAAAAATATATAATTTCGGTCGATAGTAGCCCCTTAACACAATTTTATGCAAAACAACACTCGATTATAATTTTTTTGTTTCGTATAATATGGTCATATATGAAATACAGGAAAAATTCGAATACTTTTTTGAGGCAATTTTATGGACTTTTTTTAAAAAAAGCAAATCAATTGAGGTAAATGTAATTTTTCCAAATTTTAAAGAATGTGATATTATACCATAGGACTCTCCAGACAATATAACAAATTTAATTATTCATTTCACACACAAAAAATATTATTAAATTATGTTTCTTTTCAAAGTACAACCAAATTCGAATACTTATGTGAGACACTGTATGTAAGATTACATTTTATGAACACACATTTCTCATATCTGGAATTTAATATTCTAAAATGGTTTTATACCAATTACAAAAAAGTAGGGAATTAAGGCTAATTAATAAGAAAAACACTTAAACTTCCGTATCTCATTTTTAATCACTAGTATTATGATAAAATTTCACACAAATAAGTTTGATATGAATACAAATCCCACCCCTAAATTTTATAAGGATCGTTCCATATTTGACTATAACTCCTATTTTTATCTATAAATTGCTTAAACATGTATGTATATAGGTGGACCATGTCTGACAGCACTTTCCTACGCCTTTATATTTTTATATTAATTTTTATTTAAAAATTATGCATTACGAGTGACAAATATGTTCCATAGTGTAAGAAATTAAAACAAAAAAGATACACCTACAGAATTTGCAGATTTTCGTAAATATTTACATGTACTTTAAAAAACTTCCGTTTTTTTGTCACGTATGATATCGCCATATTTTAATCCACATTTTGAAAAACAAATTTCCGAGTGGGATGATTCCTTTTACAAATATTGTATTCTCTGAAAGGAACAGAATGACAAAATTGTTTTCCAAATACTCTTATTTTTACAAAATCTATGCAACTCTGAAGGCGTACGAACTTCACATACAATTGTATGGAGTGGAGTTCATTACAATGACTTCAATTACATCATATTGATATTTTTTGTTCTGATAACAGTTTTTACGATGTTCTGTTTAATATTTTCACCTAGATTTATTTTATGAGTGATATGTGTTATCGTGATATGAAAATTGTTATTTTATTAATAATGCAATCTTTATTACAGAATAAAACTAACTGTTAAATTTTTTTTCAGTTTCATTTACATAAAAACATACATATTAACGCACAGACAATTAATTTAGTTCAATTGTAATAACATTCGTACCAAGAATTTAATAAAATTTTGTCATTTTATTGTCTACACTTAAACCTACCTCTATATCGGCATCATATGAAAAATTATACGTGTCAATTTATACCCTACATTACTATAGTGAAAGCCTATTGGAAATGGTTAAACTCGGCCCATTACTTCGCCTAGCCCCCATACAAGCGTACCTTCCGAATAGGGCTTTTGAGCTTATAATTATGTTAAATGTTCCATTATCTTAACAAAAATCAGCAAAACTTAAAAAAGTTTAAACGATAATGCCGATTTTCGTAATGATCGGGACTCATTTGACTCTAGCTCCTATACAGAAAATGACTTGAAATTCACTTATAAACACTAATAACACGATAAAATTCTTTAATGTACGTACTTTAATGTACGAATGTATATTCCACTAACAAAATTTATAAGGATAGGCCCTAATCCTATATAAACCCTCCTGTAGAAAATCGTTTTTTGCCAACAAATTCATTTTTTTATTATAAAAAAAAATAATCCACATTTTTAACATACTAGTGTAGGAAATGGTCGGCTATGTCCGACTATACATTCAATTTAATTTATTTCCATATTAAACCTAGTTTTAGAAAATTCTAATACAACAAAACAGCAAAACCAAAAAAGCAAATTTATAAATTTAAATCAATATATGTATGTACATTGTTTTCATGACCATAATTTTTTTAAAGATTATTCCAAACATCGTTCATAAAAAAGAGAATGAACTTAATAATTTTGCTTTAATTTCCTACAATTAAATCTCATTTATCATCAGTTATTTGTAAACACTTATTATGAAAATTTGGTTCAGGGGCTTATCTTATCACATAAAATGTCGATGATCTCCCATATTATATTGTAGATCTTCTACTTGAAATGAACAGTGTTTTACTAAGAGTGTACTGATATATGAATATAAAATAATTCTTTTTGCTTTACAAATTGTTTCAATGCAACTACAACATAAAAAAAAACTGATTGAACTAAAAATGCTAAAATCTTCAATTGTGTTCCAAATTTCTTGATAAATATTTTCAGATGATCGAAAACTTTGGCCCAAAATGTTTAAAGTTGATGCCTGAATGGTTTATGGAAATTTTAATTTAGCACAAATTTTAAGTGCTGAAATTTTTAGAAAGTAGTTTTGAATGAATCTAAATGTATTGTAGAGGTTTCCTAAGGCAGTTCATTAGCAAACTTTTCTCAATATTTAATTATCATTTGTATTTTATAAAATCATGGATGTTCTGAGATAAAATATTTTTCGGATTTTTTAAACACTATTCAGAGAAATCACTTACGAAACTTAACATTTTGTATATATTTTTTTAATTTAGCAATTTTAATGCATATAAATTGAGAAATACTTTTAAAATTATTTTCTTTACAGGAGGTTATGGTGTAGATTTTTCATTTGATACCGATACCGTAGAAGAAGGTATCAATAAAGTAGCAAAAGGTTTAATTAAAAATGGTGTGACATCTTTCTGTCCGACTCTCGTCACTTCACCTCCAGAAACTTATAGAAAAGTTATACCACGTATACCGAAGTCAACAAATGGTGCGGGAATTTTAGGACTTCATTTAGAGGGTCCATTTATAAATGCACAAAAGAAAGGTGCACATCCTGAAGATTGTATAAGAGATTTGGATGAGGTTGTATAATTGCATATTAAATGTTTCCAAAACTGTATCCTAAAATCTCTGTAATTATTTTAATTTAAGGGAATGAAGACTGTGATTGAAGTATATGGTTCACTAGATAATGTTAAAATTCTTACTATGGCACCGGAAAAGGATTCCAGTGGCGAAACAATTAGAACACTTACCGATATGGGTATAACGGTAGCTTGTGGACATTCGATGGGTAATTTAAAGGATGGAGAAAATGCTGTCAAAAATGGAGCGTCATTAATAACACATCTTTTTAATGCAATGCTACCGGTAAGAATTCAATTCACATTGCTATTTGATTTCAAAAGATCGATTTTACCATTTATATCACCTCCAATTATTGACTTCGATCAAGCCATGTTAGTCCGTCTGTTATAAACACCAACGGGATAAGCTAAAAGGCTGAAATTTGCAAGAATTATTCGCTATAAACAAGGTTTGTTTGGTATTGAAAGTGTTCACAATTGTTTCTTCTACCGATGATGACAATCGGTTCATAATTCACCATCCACCCAAATAAGCAATCTTAAAGAAAATCTATTTATTAAAAAAAAAAGAATAAAAAAAAATATATATTTTTTTGGAGTTAAGGCCACCTCCTGAAATAAACTTTAAATTTACATCACAAGTTTTAATGGGGCGTATAAATATTTTAGATAATACGAAAATATTATCAAAATTGGTTTGACCAGAAGAGAGTAATTATACGAAACCACAAAATTTCTATAAAATATCTAGTATGTAATTTTAAAACCAACAAGTAATCGAAAAATATTATAAGGAAAGTGGAATTATACTGTTCCAGACTAAAATTTTCCACATGTATTTTCATTACTCGAATTTAGATTGTATTTGTATTAAGATTTTACATAAGCAAAAACCGTTTTTAATAATATAATTTTATTATTTAAATGTTTTTAAACTAGTTTCATCATCGGGATCCCGGCTTGGTTGGTCTTCTAGCGTCAAATGAAATTCCTGATGGAACAACAGTTTATTTTGGCCTAATTTCCGATGGAGTTCACACACATCCCACTGCCATGCGTATCGCTTATCGAACACATCCTGAGGGTTTAATTTTGGTTACCGATGCCATTTCAGCATTAGGACTAGAAGAAGGAATTCATCGGATTGGTCAACTAAAGATGGAAGTAAGAGATTCTAAAGCTTTTATTGCCGGAACAAATACTCTATGTGGTAGCATTGCACCCATGGATGAATGTGTACGAATTTTCAAAAAATCTACAGGTATATACTAACTGAAAGACATTATTATTAATTAATAACCTATTAAGTGTTCAGAAAAATATTTATAATTTGTTTACTTTCTTTTATTTTAGGTTGCTCTACTGTTTATGCAATCGAAGCTGCTACATTACATCCAGCTAAATGTATAAAAATAGAAAATTCTAAGGGAACATTGGGTTTTGAAACTGATGCTGATTTCATTCTACTGGATGACGATTTAAATGTTTTATCTACTTGGATTAATGGAAAGTGTGTTTATTGTAATGATGCCATTCAATTTGACTGTTGTTAATAATTTCCACTTTGTCAAAATGCCTTAATATTTTTTATGTAATTTTTAATAAATTTGTAACATGCATTTAATGCAATAAATGGGTTCCTTATATAAAAAATACATATGTAGACACATATGTATGTATGTATACGAATTTTGTTTGGAATGGCCTATTATTGTCATAGTCCCATATATGCTCAACTTTCGAAAATCACTTAATCGCACATATTTCATTAAGTAATAATGATATCAGGAAAAATTCGACATGAGTAATATGTTTTGTATATGAGTAATTTCGCGTCAAGTGACTAAACTTAAAAAATGGAGTTGGATAAAATTTGCACCTAGGTTAGTACTATTGGATAGTAATCCACACACAGCTCCATCGATCAAGAACTGCAGGATTTAGAGGGGATAAAATTTTGATATTTTGGTCACACAGGATATCTTAAGAAAATATATAAAAAGTTATTCTTAATTAACAAGAAAATTGCATTGACATTACTCTCTAAGTAACAAAGTTTCCAATTTAAATGCGATAGAAATGGTTAATTCATAATATTTTATACTTTTTGTTTTATTTTTTATTCCTCTAATTATATAGAGCATTATTGAAATTGATATTGGAATAATAAATAATAATATAATATTCGAGTAACTATAGATATTTTATAGAAAATACAGAAATACAGTGACGAGCAAAAGTGTAACATGAGGCAACATTTTTAGCAATTAAGCTTAATATTTTTGATTAAGAATGGAAAATTAAGAAAACAGGAACGACATTTAACTTGGTATTTTATACATAAAATATTACATTATTTTATTTTTTTGCCTTATTCCACTTTAGGAAAACATTTACGAATAAAACATAGTTGTTAAATGTTACATTTTGTGCTCTGTAATTATTTAAAAACTAGTCATTAAAATTAATTACAAAATTAAAAAGAATCCAAAATTTTCTACATTTTGTACAAAAGTATTTTAAGTGTATCTCAAACCCAATTCCAAACATAAAATTAGCGAAAAAAAACTCCAGATATTTAAAGCTTAGGACACAGGAAATAAAAAAACACTAATCTATCCCCAGTGAAAAAACTTTTTACCCAAAATATGCTTAATTTCTTAATTAAAGTGGTTTGAAAAATAATAAAGCAAAATTAATTTCCAAGAATTTTTTAAAATTTTTCAGAATATATGTAAATAATAAACATTTTTCGAAAATATTACAAGTCAGCAAAATATGAGCTTTACATATTTAGGAAAAAATAAAAAAAGGATTAGAATTTCATACATTAATGATTAGAAAATATCTGGAACTTGTATATCTGTATTAAAATTTAAATTCATTTGTGTACATTTATATCAAGTTTGGCCAATATGCTGGGTCGAAAATACGCTTTTTTCACTGATCAACTTCTAAAAGAGAAATTATGTTGTATTTTAACGTCAAATGGAAGACTGCAAAATGTTATTCAATTATTTTGAGGTTATGAGCCCGCACATCGACGCCAAAGTTTATAAATGCGTTTATATGGGAAAAAGGCACTTTTTAGAGGTTTTATATCCACCATCAAAAAAGATGGAGGGTATATTGATTTTGTCATTCCGTTTGTAACACTTTGAAATATTGGTTGTATACTCATAAAAGTATATGTATGTATGTATGTATATATTTTGGATCTAGAAATGTCCGTCCGTCTGTCTGTTGTAGACTCGATAGCGCCTAAACGAGAGAAGCTACACAGCTGAAATTTTGCAGTGTTGATAGGCACTGTTTGGTATTGAAAATGGGCAACATCGGCTCACGTTTTCGGATAACCCCCATACAAGTGGATCCCCGAAAAACAGCTTTAATGGGAATATTTGTTTAAGAAGTACGAGTATAGCGTTGAAATTCAACATAAATAAGTTTCATATGAGTCAATGTCTGTTTGTTTGTTATTGAAAATGGGCAATATCGGTCCAAGATTTCGCCTAGCCCCCATATAAGGTCCCCTTCAGAAAATAACTATAACGCTCATAACTGACTAAAAAATGCAGCTATAGCGATGAAATTCGACATAAACATTCTATAGGAACCTTAATATCTTTGTAAAATTTTATAAGGATCGGTTCATATTTGACCCTACCCCCCATATAAGGCCCCCTTCAGAAAATGGCTTTAACGCTCATAACTGTCTAAAAGAAGCATGTATAGCGATGAAATTCGACATAAACATATTCTATAGAAACCTAAATCGCTTTGTAAAATTTTTTAAGGATCGGTCCATAATTGACCCTACGCACCAAACAACCCCCCCGTGTAAAGTCGGTGTGGCAAATCCAACTCAGTTGGAACCTGAATCCCTTTGGACTCAGCCGTTGGATGCGGCTCGTCTACTAACGTCTAACGGAGTTGGATAACCAGAGCGAAGAAGAAGAAGAGTAGGGAATAATAATAACAACAACAACCCCCCCCCCCCTCCTATAAGGTCCCCTTCAGAAAATTACTTTAACGCTCATAACTGCCTTAAAGAAGCATCTATAGCGATGAAATTCGAAATTAACATATTTTATAGGAACTTCAATCGCTTTGTAAAATTTTATAACGATCGGTTCATAATTTACCCTAGCCCCATATAAGGTCCCCTTCAGAAAATACTTTAACGCTCATAACTGTCTAAAAGAAGCATCTATAGCGATGAAATTCGACATGAACATATTCTATAGAAACTTAAATCTCTTTGTAAAATTTTATAACGATCGGTTCATAATTTACCCTAGCCCCATAAAGGGTCCCCTTCAGAAAATGGCTTTAATGCTCATTACTAGCCTAATCTAAAATCGTTCTATAAAATTTTACGAGGATCAGTCCATAATTGACCAAACCTCCCCCCCAAATAAGGTCCCTCTCAGAAAACGACTCTAATGCTTTTTACTACCTTAAAAATACAAGTACAGCGACAAAATTCAACAAAACTTTCTCTACCAAATTTTAGGAGGATCAGTCCATAATTGATCCTATCGATATACATATGTATGATGGTAAAATTATACATAGATGTAATAAATGAGAAAATTGTTTTGATAATAACAAAAGCATCGATTATTCAATATCAAAGTTTATTTATAAGGAAGCATTCCTTTTCGGCAATGGTGGGTATTCAAGATTCGGCACAGCCGAATATAACACTCTCACTTGGGAATTTTTCGAGGTAGTCTGCTCATAACTTTTCAAACTGCTTAGGACAATAATAATTATTATATATGAGTGAATTTGGTTGATTTCCTTTGATTATAGTTTTTCTACATACTAAATAAAATTGTATTAGAAGAATCTCAGAATTCACTCAAAAGTTTGGTGGCAATTCGGATCCAAAGTTTATAGGTAAGATCATGAATTAATTGGAGATTGCTGCCTTTGTGTCTATACCCATCATATATACTTTGTTGGGTCTTAGATGAATATTTCTTGGTGTTACAATGATGATAAACTTATGTATTTATACCCTCTATCACCACTGACGGTGGTGCAGGATATAATAAAATCTGATATAATGGAGAATTTCTGAGGCCAGATTTGGATTTAGCAATGCTCAATACTTAAGACAAGTAAACTTTGGTCTCTGGGTTACAGATGCGTTGGTCTGCGTTATATTTTTATATACATAAATATAATTGTCCCATTCACAATCGGTGTTGTATGATTGTATCGTAGTACATCGTAATTTTTTTATTATACCCTTCACCACTTCAGTGGGGAGGGTATATTGGGTTTGTGCTGATGTTTGTAACGCACAATAATATTGGTCCTATACCCACCGGCTCAGAATCATTTTCTGAGTCGATTTAGCTATGTCCGTCCGTCCATGTAAACCTTGTAATCAAACTACAGGTCGCAATTTTTAAGATAATTCAATACATGATCTTCTTTTGTCCCAGGGATGAAGCCTATTGAAAATGGTTAACATCTGTCCATTATTTCACCTAGCCCCCCCATACGACTGAACCCCCCGAATAGGGCTTTTAAACTTTGTAATCAAACTACAGGTCGCAATTTTGGAGATAATTCAATGAAATTTGGCACATGATCTTTTATGGTACCGTAGACGAAGCCTATTGAAAATGGTTAACATCGGTCCATTATTTCACCTAGCCCCCATACAACTGAACCCCCGAATAGGGCTTTTAAACTTTATAATCAAACTACAGGTCGCAATTTTGGAGATAATTCAATGAAATTTGGCACATGATATTTTATGGTACCGTAAACGAAGCCTGTTGAAAATGGTTTACATCGGTCCATTATTTCACCTAGCCCCTATACAACTGAACCCGCCGAATAGGGCTTTTAAGTTCATAATTATGTTTAATATACTCATATCTCGGCAAAAAGCTGCAAAAACCAAGTTCCATACAAGATTTGATGACCCTCACAAATTCCATAATAATAGGTCCTCATATGACCCTAGCCCCTATGAAAAGCCCCCATCAAAATTTCACTTAAATGTCCACAATTTTATTCAACAATAAACGGCTTAAGTATGTATATCTGAGGCAAGGTACAATTCAATTTAAATGCTTTATTATGGCAAATAAATCACATTATATTTTTGTCAAAGGTGTAGGGTATTATATGGTCAGCCTCGCCCGACTATAATTTCTTACTTGTTATTGATTTGTTTTTGTTTAAAATCAATCGACATCGATTGTGAATTGGACATAGAAGTAGTTCTATACATATGTATTTGAAGGAAAATATGTACGTTAAAGAAGTAAATAAAACAATTAAATGTTTTTGTTTTTTTTATTGAATATGACTTTTATTAATAATATTCAAATATGGAACAAATACACATTTCTTTTAAAGGTTACAAATTGTTAATCATAAAGTGTTAAGTTTAAGTGTGTGGTGTACTCGTATCAATCAATGCATACGTTACAATACAATACAATAAACATTTAAACTATTTGTTTTTTTGTTGTTGTAATTATAATATTTTTAAATATTTTATTTAATATATGTAATGTATAAGTATTGTTTTAATATTAATAATAATAATGTAAATACATATTTTCTCATTTTAAGAGTGTATATTATATATGTATGTA